AAATATAATTTATATTATTTTTTAATATATTTTCTTGTAGAAAAAATTTTTAAATTTCAAATTTATACAAACTGGTATTATTTTTTATTTAATTTTTTATTAAATAAATAAAGATAATGATATTCAAACTTGTAACCGATTAATCATAAAATTCTAATATAAAAAAATTATCTCAATTTAATAACTTAAATTAAATATAATTTATATTATTTATTAGCATCTTATATTTATCTTCTTATCATCACTCTTAACGTTTAATCGTAGTTGTTCTTGTGTAAAAATTCTTATACTCGTAACAGGGAGTTATAATTTGTACGGAGGTTGCATTTTGACTTCAAAAAAAAAATAGAAGAAGAAGAAGATGCCTGACCACCCTACAGCCACGTAGTGAAACAAACAACAAATCCTAATTACGATATGGTTGTAGCAAAAATTATATACCAAATGGCTGTTTTTTGTTTTCTCATTGCTCAGAAGATACAAAAAGAACACCACGGGAACAGGGGAGCAACCCGTGCGAGAGAAAACTATGTAGCTCAAGGGATAAGAGCCTCAAAAGCAAATGAAAGTAGCCAAGCAAAGGGACCCCAGCGAACAGACTGCCAAAGAACAGAAACAAATACTGCGAAGTTCACATCCGTCCTGTAAAGTCAGAAGAACGTCTTACTCCCTGCTTAGCCAGCAGGTCTGCCATGCTATTAGCGGTGGCGGGAGAGCGAACCGGTAGGTTTGAAGCAGTCAGGATAAATAAAATAATTTGTTTTATTCCATAAATAACAAACTTATATAAGTTATAAATTCTTTAACTTACCTTTTTTCTTCTTCAGTGTTTCTCTATTTTATTTTCTATACTCAATAATATAAACTTAACTTATTATTTATACATAGAATAAAAATATAAAAAAATCAAAATTCCATATATGAAAAATAATAACAATATAAAAGCAGCTAGTGGTTGTAATTGGTGACTATCATCCTAAATCTTTTAGATTGAGTTTATGACAACAAATTTTATTTTTAAACTCGATGAAGGGATGTCATTTCAAATATGATAAATGCCTCTTCCTCCAATGGTTTTGTAAATACATTTACAACTTGATTATTTGTTTTGTAAAATATCACTTCAACTTCTTTATTCTTCTCACGCTCTTCGATAAAGTTATGACGTGTTCACTTCTTTTATAATACACTGGGTTCTTTGTTAATGCAATCGGTGATCGATTATCAATATAATTCTTTGTAGGATTTTCTTAAGAAAATCTTAAATGCTTCGGCATGTTCTTTAATCATATTAACTGGCATAGAGTTGAGTTGGCAGCAACATACTCGGCTTCACAACTTGATAACATTATTATCAATTGCTTCTTAGATGACCATGTAAAAGACATATCTCTCATAAAAATAAAAATAAAAATAAAAATATAAACCTTATTGTGTTTTTCCTTTCATCCAAGTCTCTTTCCCAATCATTATCTAAGCATTGAACAAGATTGAAGTTTTTACTTGAAGTATAAAACATACCTCCAGTCATTGTTCCTTTCATATAGTGGAGAATTTTCTTAGCTACATGCAAATTTGACCGATCTAGCATCTCCATATATCTACTAATAAATTATACTCCATACAGTATATTTGATTTGGTTCATGTCAAGTATTGCAAACTTCCCACTAAACTTTTAAAGTAGGTTGGATCAACATTTCCTACCTTACTTGATAACATTACTATCGATTCCTTCTTAGATAACCATGTGAAAGATATATCTCCCATAAAAATAAAATTAAAAAAACAAATCTTATTGTATTTTTCCTTTTATCCAAGTCTTTTCCTCAATTATTACCTAAATATTCAACAAGATTGAAGGTTTTACTTGAAGTATAGAACATACCTCCAATCATTGTTCCTTTCATATAACAAAGAATTCTCTTCGCTACATTCAAGTGAGACTAATCTAGTATCTCCATATATTTATTGATAAATTATACTCCATAGAGTATATCTGATCTGGTACATGTAAAGTATCGCAAGCTTCCCACTAAGCTTTTAAAGTAGGTTGGATCAATATTTCCTACCTTACTCTTTCTCAATTTGACTTCATTTTCAACTGGAGTTAATACTAAATTGAAGCTTTTCATCTTGAACTTTTCAAAAATATATTTGGCATAACCTTTTTGGGATATAAAAATTCTCTCTTCTTTTTGTATTATTTTTAAGCCAAGAAAGTGTGTCATTATACTAATGTATATCATCTCAAACTTTTGCACCATGCTTTTCTTGAAATCCCTAAATATGGTAAGATTGTTACTGGTAAAAAACAGATCATCAACATATAAGCATGTAAATAGTGTGCTTTTATCATATTCTTTCTTTACATATATTTCATATGAATATGAATATTTTTCAAATTATTTTCTTGAAAATACTTGTCAATTCTGGTATTCCAAGTATGCGGAGCTTACTTCAAACCATAAAAGGCTTTCTTCAACTTGTATACTTTGTTATGATTATTAGCTTCAACATATCCAAATGGTTGTTCAAAATAGATCTCTTTTTTTTATAAAGATATAAAAAAATGATGACTTCACTTCAAGTTGATAAATCTTTCATCTATGTTGTGTAGCTAGTGAGATCATTAGTCTAATTATATCTAGCCAGGCTGCAGAAGCAAATACTTCTCCATAGTAAATGCCTTTTCTCTTATTATAGATTTTTTTCCACTAATCTTCCTTCATATCTTTGTACTTTGTCTTTTGTATTCTTTTTTATCTTATAGACCTATTTGACACCAATTGCTTTATTGCTTTCTTGTAGATTAGTCAGTTGATTAGTACTTAAAAGTGCATTTTTATCATGGTTTTATATCATCATTTTGCACTTGAAGTATCAATAACTCCTTAACCAAAGCATATTTTATAATAATATATCTAATAATATAAGATAACTTTAATTTGTGGTAAATGTC